TAAGCTAGGAGTGAGTAAACAAGAAATCTTACTCCACCATTTAAAAAATAAAAAAAGAAATGCAATCTGTTTTAAGGAAAATTTTATGGCATGTATATTAATTTATCAGATATATATCAGAAAAAATATATAGATTTCAAAAAACACATAAAATACTATGAATTCCACATACCTCTGTATTTTCCAGTTACCACGAAGTTTTTTTTGTAAAATTCTGTAACCACTGTTCATAGTAAAAATTTCCTTTTTGGAGGCATTGAAGATAATCATATTTCGAAGATCTCCCTCCATAATTATCTTAAAGATGAAAAAAGTACAATTATATAAACAAAGAGCAAATGTTATAAATATCAATTACTGTATATTGTCTATAGCAGTGGTTCTCAACCTGTGGGTCGGGACCCCATTTGGGGTCAAACGACCATTTCACGGGGGTCGCCAAACAAGGCTGTCCGCCATTTTTTTCCCCCTTTTCTTTGGCCACGCCCCTGGCACCCGGTGATGTATAAGTGGTTGGGGGTCACCACAACATGGGGAACTGTATTATGGGGTCGAGGCATTAGAAAGGTTGAGAACCACTGGTCTATAGCTTAATATGCAGTATAGTATTTTTTAAAAAACAAGATTAAATTTGTTATCTTGCTTATTGCAATTCTAAAAACAATATTATTAGGCGCCCAGAATCACTTACTTGAGACAGGGAGTCATATATATTCAACAAACAAATGAAATTATGAGAGTAAAATTGATCTAAAATTTATAGCAAATAGTAGTTAACATTCATAATATTTTCAATTATATTTCCTCCCTATATTTACATAACATATTCTCAAAGTCCTGCTGTTAAGGGAACTGAGTATGCATATGGTTTGAAAGTGGCACATTCAGAATTAGGATATCCAAAATTCTAATGTTAGGGGTTCAGTTTGAAATACATCCTTATTGCCCTTTGAAATTTTCCTTTTGGGGGCGGGAGGAAAGAAAGAAAGGTGCAAAAACTCCTATTGCTATATAATTTACAAGAGATGAAGAATTAAAAATTCCTCTGTTTAAAGCAAAAAGCAATTCCTTTTAAGCAAATGAAAAAACTTTATTTAAATATCATTTTTCCAGACATTCCACCACGTAATGAACAAATACTGATTTAGTCATAGATAGCCATTATGAAATTATCTCAATGACAAAAATATAATATTAGAACATAGAGGCCATATCTCCAAACAACTTCAAAAACTTGAATAGATTCTGAGAATTATAGCTGCAGGAAAGAAAATAGTAGATTCTTTAATGTAATTCTCTGCATCTTCTCTGGATTATAATTCTTGATGAAAAAATATGAATGACATTGCCATACAATTCCACAATTTGTGCAGTGTAGCTATGCATTCGCAGCTAGGAAAATGTAAGGAATTATATTGATCAATCTATGCCTGTTCTTGAGGAACAAAATTAAAGGCTGGCTCATACATAATTAGGGTTACCAAATGTCCTAAAAAAGGATGACTTGTCCTAATGTGCTCCATCTGACCGGCATAGCATTAAAAGTAAACATTGTCTGGCTTTTTTAGTATCTACAAACTATCTCTTCCTGAGCAGCTTTTCTCTGCAGCACAATCTTCCCTAAACAATAGTCATTGCTACTCAATAAGCTCTGACTAAAATTGACCCAACTTTAATCAGTTACACACCAACCCTTTTCTTTCTCCTAACGGATTCTAGAGCATTGTTGACATTCAAAAACCTTTCTGATGCTAGAAAAAAATTCATATTCATGTAGGCCACTGACTTTTTTTTTGTCTCCGATGCCAAGAAAGTTAAATAGTGTGTTTTCCTATGCCCCTTTCTAATTGTCTGTGAGCAATTTGACCTGTTCAGAAATCTGGTAATCCTACAGGTGTAATGCATGGTGTAAAAAATCTATCCATTATAGTTTATGATCTGCAACAAACCATGGTAAAAACTATCTTCAGCAATCCAGAATAAAAACTACTGTTCTATATTAAAATTATTTATTAGATGTCCACACAGAGGGGGAAATTATCATGTTCTCTGTGGTTGTGTTTCTATGTTGCTAACGGGATTAGAGAGACATTCAACGTGCCTACCTTCGACAGAAAAGAATTGCCCAAAGACACCTGGACTCGCTGAGGTTTTGTTCATCACACTGGTGTTAGAAACGAGGCTCCTTGCTAAGGAAATGTTGCCACATATTCTCCATCAAGAGGCTGATGAAAAAAGATTTTCTTCTTTCGGCAGGAAGAGGAGGCTCTTTGCATCCGTTTAATTCAGGAGTGGGGAATCTCTTGTTTTCCAAAAGTTGCTAAACTACCGTTCCCAGCATCCTTGGCGATGCTGGTCCGGTTCCAGCAGCAACAGTTAAGAGCCGACAGTTCCACAGCCGCACTTTTAATATTTCAGCAACGGTTAGGACTGGGAGGAATAAAGGAGTAAACCTTACACAAAAAATGGGGGAACTTCCTCTTTGAGGTAGCGCAAGCATTGCAAAAATCAATCTCCAGCAACAGCGCCAAGCCCAAAGAAAGGGACGTTTGAGCCTCCGCTCGAACGGGCTGTACACATCACAAGGCCGGCCCTGTTTTCCTCCATGTACATGGACCACAGACGCAAGGACGGCACGTTTGTAGTGAGTCTACAACATATTACTAACTCACCCTTCCCTTCCCAAGGAAATTTATTTACCTGCGGAATCGCCACCATTTTTTCGCGGTTCCTCGATTATGAAACCTTGGTGGCAGCAGCAGTAGCAACACCCGGTAACTAAGGGCCGCTCCACCCTAGCAACGCGATTCTCTTTCTGCGCGTGCGCGGAACGCGGCTTAACTGTAAAACTCCGGAGGGGAGACAAAAAGTAAGAGGATTGATAACATCTAATCTGGGACTGTTAGAGACTCGCAGACTTGGAACTGTTTCAGGTGGAGTCCTCCACTGTTGGAAAAAAGGGGAGCTTGTGGGAATCTGCCATCGCGAGAGAAGGGGGGAAATGCTTTTTTCGTCCCCGCCTTTAGCACGAACAAAGAACAATTAAGAATATTAATTAGAATTTAGAATTTCTATTAATCCTTCTAGCTTATTTACTTGAAAATCTATAGCTGCTTACACTTTCTAAGAAAAATGTTCCATAACAAGAGGCAAGAACTGTAAAGTACTGTACAGTAGTGGCCTGATTCCTGTATCCTATCAAAAACACTTTATATTCTGTTGGAAGTCAGCACCCATCCACCCTCCTAGAGAAAGGAATATTTTGAGGGGATATTAAAAGGACAGAATATTATATTTCCCCAAAGGAATAATGAAAAATCTTAGGCAAAGACAGCCCCAAGTCTCCCTCCACCAAGCAGAAACCAAGCAGGCCAGCTTTTAGAAATGTAGATTTGATAATCCTTTCAGAAAGACTGGAGCCAGGAAGCTTGGAGCTGATGGCATTAGAAAGACAAAGATCCCTAGAACCAATAACCCCTCACCCAAAAAAAATCTAATACAGGACATAGCCTCAGGGAAGCAGGACATGTGACACAATAGGCCTTTTCCAATGAGTCCTCACCTCATTTAGTAGCCAAAGTATGTGAGCTTCAGCTTCAGTATTTGTTCTTCCAAAGAACAGTCAGAATTGCTTTCCTTTAGGATTGACTGATTTGATTTCCTTGAAGTCCAAGGACCTCTCAAGAGTCTTCACTTGAATTCTAGCCAATATTTATAGACTAAAATATTGTCAGCTTTCCTAATTTAGCACCTTATAGGAGAATTAACCATACTGTGAATTCTACAAGTTCAGATCCTGACATAACTGATGGATTGATGAAGGCTGATTAAACTATAACATCCCACTATGATAAGACACAGATGTCAGGGCAGAAAAGTTTCTGTTGAAAATTTCATATTGTTTCCCACAGATATATTTTTAAATGGGCATACAAATAATCCTTGTATAATGACACTAACGAGAACTGGAAACTCCAACATTAAGCAACATGGTCATATATTAAAAATCACATGACTGCACTACTTAGTAATGTCAGTTCCAGCTGCCATCATTAAATGAGGGCAACACAAATCAGTAAGCAAGGACTTCAAGACTATGATTTCCTGAAGGTTTCTCCATTGTCTTTGCTTGTGGGAAACTCTAAGGGAAGGTTGCAGATCGTGATTATGCAACTACGCCCATAACCACAAGGTCAGGTCATTACTACTTGTTCAGTGATGTCACAAGATTGAATGGTCATTGAACAAGTGGTTGTTTCATTGTTTATTCTACAAACAAATTAGACAAAAGTTATCTTTATATGTGAAATATATACTTTTTATTATGTCTTAAAATTTTATCAGCATAAAGAAGTGGGAGTAGTATGTGTGTGGATCTACTTATGGAGTTTATCAGAAGTGTGTGTTTTTGCCTTCAGCTGATAGTAAGAAATTGGTTTTAAAATGAGCTTGTTATTGTTATTTTAGCTATGCAAGTAGTTATGTTTTGTATGAATTGCTATTCACTTTCTAAAAGATGAAAGAGGAATGCATAATTTGAAATTATTTAATGTGGTACAGAGTGGCTGAAAACAATGTGACATAGATCATTTGTTCTAAATCTAAAGAAATGAGACTACATACTATATTGGCATAACAGCATTGGATGGAAATTGTATCATTCCCTTTTTTATTCATAAAAATCATCTGGTCAACTTTGCCTGTGTTTGAAACAATGTACATATTTTTGCCAAAATATATATATAGTGTGTCCATAAAATTCTACATGGATACTTTATTTTTACCTATTCATTTTGGGCTTAACAGATTTATTTTGGCAGTTTTTCTTTACAGATTCTTAAAAATAATTTGCTTCTTTTGGATCTGTGCTGTTAAGAGGTAGTTATTATCAGAGTTTAACTTTCAAATAAACAGGAACAAATAAGCAAGATTATTAAATATATATATATATATATATATATATATATATATATATATATATATATATATAAAAACAGAGATTACTGGAGTTTTTCCAGGCTAAAGCAAGACATTTGGAATCCAGTAGATTGTATGATGGGATGGCTTGCTGTTTTCACCAATTACATTTTGTTGCAGTGCATTCAGAACTAAAAAGAAATACTTAAACCTGACATGAAGCCTGGAGGTGTCAACTGATTTGAGAAGAATGAATACAATGCCATGCCAATTTCATAGAAGCTATGAGGACTGGGGTCAAGGAGAGGTAGTTACAGCTTTTCTGACTAACTTGAAAGATTTCTTCAAGAACATACACAATGAAAAACAAATTGCAATCAAAAATTCATGAGCCATAAAATCTAGAATAAGAAAATGGATTCAACTAGTTTGAATTGGTAGTGCCCCAAACTTAAAATAAGTGAATACAAAATAATTAGTTGTTTAGAATGTACTAAATCTCTCTTAAACATCTTGCATTTTCTTAGGACCTCATCCATTTGGTAAAAGGCTGTGTCAAATAAAATTATTTTAACTACCATGATTGGCAATGCTCAGGAAGAGGAACATTCACATTATAAGTCTCTGTATTTCAAAGTTGCAGTTTGGATTTTTCCAGTTAGAAGATTAGATTAGTATGTGATGTCTTCCTCTTATTTAAATAATGTTAAATCTGGATTTCTCAAGTCTTGTTTACACGAGATGCTTTAATCTTCATCATTTGGTGCATAAGAAAAACCTAGGAAAGCATCTGTTGCACTGGAACTGCTAGCAGCTAAATCAGGAGTTTGGATGATGGAACTGGGAACAGTTTCCTGAGTGAATTCTGGATCAAAATGTCGTAGATCAGCTGGCCCAGCCTTTAAAGAAAAACAATTATTTGTTTAAGTTTCAAGCAATAACAACAATAAATAGTCATTCTTAAAGCCAGAGGTTACAGAATGAGAGAAACCCAGCATATGTTTTGGGATTATGCTGAATCCTATCAGTCCATTCAACTTTGAAATGCTGTTCTCCCTTATAGCGAGTTGAGTTTATGTTAGATTATGTTAGGTTTTCGTTTGTTTGTTTTTACATAAAACATTTTGAAGTCAATCATTACATACTCATATGTTTCTGAGACAAAGTGAGAGAAAGTCCCTGGGTTTTTTGTCCCCAATGATTTTCCATTCACTGTTGGAGGGTAAGGGATGAAGGAAAGGAAGCTATTTATTTGTTCTATTTATTTACTAAGAAAATTTATATGACTGCCCAACTCACAGGAGTGCAGCTTACAGGAATTAAAAAATTACTACTTGTTTTATTCTACTATTAAGTACATTTTTTCTGAAACATACATTTAACACTATGTATAATTAGATTTTTAATTAATTCTAATAGGCAAAAAGAGTAAATTGTGATTTCTTCAAGCCATCCTTTACCGTGCAACAATTTCCAATTTTGTTTCCAGGCAAATTGCAGTATCCCAAGACAGCATGTAAACCATGTGAATTGGCTCAATATTTCACAAAAGTCCATAACAAATTATAAAATGTAGATCCATAAACCTTGAAAAGCACCCAGAATGGTTAGCTTTTTCTAATATTTCTTCACAATTTTACAAAGATTGTCTACAGCATAACAAACTACTTACCACATTAGGATCAAAGGGAGGAGTAATCTTCTTACTATACAAATCATCCCAGTTTATTGGAGCGAAGAACATATGGTTCTTTATTTCAAGCTGCAAAAAGTAAAATAAAGCTGAGCAGCTATTTGCCAGAAGGATTTCCAAAACTGTATTGTGCACATGTTTATCTATACCTAGTCGCAGTGAATCATTGATCTAAATTTACATACTCTAAATGGTTTCCTAAAATACCATTGCTAATTGTAAAGATAAACAATTGTAAACTGTTATACAGAGGCTAATTGTGCTCAGAGTATACACAATTAAACACTGGTATGAGCTCAGGCTCAAACCCACTCAGTAACAATAAGGGCAGCAATCTGCCAGTGTTCTTTTGCTCTTATTGAACCTGCAAAATGATTGAACACGTGGCTGCCCCAATGTGGGCACATTGCTGCTCTTATTGCTCTTAAGTTCAATATCAGTGATATCTTATTGCTCTCAAGTTCAGTATCACTGATATCAGTGCCCAGTTGTGTTTACGTTCAATTATATATCATTTGTAGTATTTTTTTCCAATTACTTTATCTCCCATAGGTTATCAAAAAAACAAACAGGTCACTAGAGAAACCACAGAAGTGCCCTCTCACCAAGTATTCTGTTTCTGTATTGCAAAGATTTATGAAGCAAAAGCACAATTCTTCCAAATTGTGGGGAAAATCCCCAGTCAATCCCAAATCCCCATCTATCAGCTGATTCTATCAGCTCCTAGGATGGATCATTCTAATAGGTTCCTTGCTTTTGCAGGGGTCCAGGAAAGCTAAAATTCTCAGTCTGAGTAGAAAGTGATCTGATCATGACAAAATAAAGATCAGATCAAGTATATATCTATGTGCATCAGAGTTGTAATTTTTTTTGGGGGGGGGGGTAGATTCACAAATGGAGCTTAGGGATTTACATGCTTTTTTTAGATATCAGAGGTTGAAATCACCCAGAAACGTATTTCTTGAAGAGTCTCTCACCATCCCTGAGATCCAGGAGCTCAGAAAGGGCCATTGAGGCAGTCAGGACACCCTAGCTTGTGTCTATAGCACAACTAACATACAAGGACTTAGAACCAGTCACCTCAGATGACTCAGAATTCTTTAGGGATTTCATAAGTTTTACCTTCTAACTAACATAACCCTAAATTCTTTACTTTAAAAGTGGCACAACTTTCTGAGCACACATTTAATTGTTTGCACATGCATGCTTATAAAACTCTCAAACAATTAACAATAATTTAAGAAGCGTCTTGATATACAGAATTATGCTGAAAAGTAATCAAAACACTGAGATATAGAAGTGCATTAAATTGATGCAGCAAAATGTGAAAGCTACCATTAACCTATTGAATACATAGCCCACTCTAATCTATTCCCTGTACTGCTTAAATCCCAAATTGTTTAATTATTACAACTGCTACTGCTACATATTTATTAAGCAGCAAACAATATTCATAGCATTCCAAAATGCAGAAATGATATTTTATAAAAGGAAAAATAAATTGTGCTGGATGAAAGTGAAGATAGTGAGGATGCCTTGAAAAGGAGTAGCAGTGATGGGGCAGAGAAAATAACAGTAATAATGTAAATAGTTGTGAAATCTCACACACACTTCTATGGGTTTAAAATACTGTCAAGTTGGATAAAGTTTTTAGCAGGACAAGATGCCCGGGATTCCAAGAATAAGCAATTATCACATACAAAATCGGTCTTGGCTCCAAGCCTCTTCTTCTGATCTTTATGAAGAAGTCCTTGTAGGATATCACAAGCTGCTATGGTCTTGGTTCCTTGAATATGAAGTGGTTTGTGCAGGATATTATCATACATCTGTGACATATCCCTGCTGTAAAATGGAGGCTGACAGTAAAAATAGGAAAAGATCAATAGCATAAATTACAGTGTAAATATGTATCATGTTTAGATAAAATACAATTCATACTGATTTTTTAATGAATTTAATGGAAGGAATATGGTTTGTTTAAAATAAATTACTGAATAAACAATTCAAAAGTTGGACTACCATATTTGGGCTGAAAAATGCAGGGCAACCACTAGATGGCAGCAAACTTATACAGGAGCTATAGCTACATAAGCTATATGTTCACTGTTTAGGTTTGACAGCCCTAAAGCAGCGGTTCTCAACCTATGGGTCGCAACCCCATTTGGGGTTGATCGACCATTTCACGGGGGTCGCCAAGCAAGGCTGTCCGCCATTTTTTTTCCCCTTTTCCGGCAGGTGCCTTACCTCCCTTGGGCTGGGCCAGCTGGTGGCCCAGCCGGTGATCGGCCTGCTCCGTCTCTGCCGCTTGCCAGCTAGGCCTCGGCCAGCGCAGGGGACGGCACCACACATGTGCAGCGCTCCCGGGCAGGGAAAGTCCTCGACTTACAACCGGTTTGGTAGTCCTCGACTTATGATCGGTTTAGTCCTCAACTTACGACTGGTTGGGGGTCACGGCATTAAAAAGGTTGAGAACCACTGCCCTAAAGAATAGCTGAAGTAAGATTAAATGTGTGTGTTCCACAATTAGTTCAGTTGTATTCATATAAATTGATCCAATCCTGCTTCTAAGCACAATCATCAGCATGGCTGATTTTCTGACAGACTTAACACATGGGAAAAATCAGGCACACTTTAATTAATTGATCAAATTAATTAAGACACTTATTAATTAAGACATTTATGAAGCAAAAGCACAATGCTTCCACATTGTAGGGGAAATTACCAGTCAATCCCAAATCCCCATCCCTCTAGTAACTCTCAGATTCCATCAGGCTAACACTGATGGACACTGTTATCCAAGTTCCATCTATGCTGGAATATGGTAAACTCAGCTAATTATACTAACACACAGGGATAAGCAGCATGAGATAGGGTTCTATTAACATTCTAACACTTTCTCAACCTTGGGAACTAGACTGGCTAGAGAATTCTGGAAGTTGAAATCCACACATCTTAAACTTCCAAGGTTGAAAAATAATGTGCTGGAGCATTGAGAATCATACATATTTCCCAATATTTACCATTCTAATTAAGCAGACTGCTAGGCTTTGATATTGGCTTCGAAACCTGATAATGCTTCTTGTCCCTTCGTCCAAAGAAATCAGCTTGTTTATACATTAGGACAAAAAGCCATTCCCAGGCCATTTTAGCCTCAACCTCAAAAGCAAAACTTACCAAGCCAAATAGCATTTCATAAAGCACAGCTCCAAGGCACCACCAGTCAACAGTTCGGTCATAAGGCTGCTTTTTAAGTACTTCTGGAGCCAAGTACTGTTAAATACATAGAAATTTTAATAATAATAATAGTCATATATCATTATAGATACAAACATTTGACAAAGGATTGTAATTACTTCCCAAAGGGCAAATTTATTTTCTTTATTGGAAGTAGTAAGAAAACGTATATATTTAAGGGGTGATAATTCACTTATATTAATTTTTCTTAATGTCTGCTCTGAGGACCCCTGTGGAACTCCCCAAGACCCCCTCAGAGATCTGTGAAATAAAAATTTGAAGATATTTGCAAAATTTTAAAACAATGTTTCTCTTCTCATCGTTATTTTTTATTTGTTAAAGATACAAGTTTTTCATGAAAAATGTTATCAGTGTTAATATCTAATGACTTAAATACTATTAATTTACATGATTCAATAAATAAATATTCTACATGTATCAATTTTAATTTTTGATAGAATAAATATAACCCATAGACACAAGCTCTTTTGGGATCCTCCATAATTTTTAAAAGTAGGACAGGTTCCTTGAGAGTAAAAAAATTAAACACTGTGTCATACTTCTGGTGTCCCACAAAAAGTAGATGTTGTTTCTTCTGGCTCCATTCCTTCTTTGCAAAGTCCAAAATCTGTCAGAACAATGTGACCCTAAAGGATTAGGGAGAAATAAATAAATAAACAAACACAAACCAGGCAAATGTGGGTCCTGAGCAGAAGAATTCTACAAGCAAAATGTTAGTTACTAAAAACTAGCAATTTGCACTGCAACTCATAAGCAGTGACTGGGGAAAGCCTGGGCCAGCATTTCACAAGTCATTTCTCACAAGTGGCAGGCTCTTAATTATATATCTCTCACACTTGGAAAGGCATGAAAATTTTTCATCATAAACTACTGGAAACTACAGGAAGTAGTTGTTAGAAATTATTAAACCTGGTCCCTCTTAACAGTGACAATTGTAATTTCCACATGACAGCACTAATAACATACCTGACAATCCAAAAGAATATTTTCAGGTTTCAAGTCCCTTTTTAAAAGAGAGAGAGAGAGAGAGAGAAAGGAATTGCAGTTTATATGATTCAGCAGGGGCAGACAGAAGACAGATCCAGATCTCTTGTAGCAACATATAGATTCCCATTCAGCCATCCCAAAGGCAGTGCTGAGACAAAGAAACCTTAAGACAGCCCTGTCTAGTTTTCAAACTTATGAGTATATCCTTAATGTATTTTTTCAATATGCTAGGCTTCATTTCCTATAATACCTATGTAACATGATCAGATCATCTGAGGGACACCTAGCTGGGGAAGACTCTACTAAAATGATTGGTAAGTTCCAAATTATCATTTTCAATTAATGATTTCAGTTCACTCAGATGTCCATCTTGGAGCACACTCTGACATATGCTATCTGCTTGCTCTTTGTTTCTCTCTGTCTCCCCTCTCTCTGTGTCAGGTTTTTATTCCTGACAATTGCCCTGGACATGTCCAGCAAGGTTTTTGCCAAGATTTCAAAAGTGGTTTGTTATTTCCTTTTTCCTAAGCTAAGGCTTAGAGACAGTCACTACTCCAAGGTCACCAAGCTGGTTTCATGCCTAAGCAGGACTAGAATTCCCAGTCTCCTAGGTTCTGGTCTGATGCCTTAACCTCTACATCAAACTGACTCTCTATGGCATGCTCTTAGATATCCAATATAGTAACACTTGGATTTTTTAGAGGGTCTTAGGGGCTTTTCTAGGACAAATATATTTCTAAATAAATGTCAAAAGTTCAGAGAAACTAGAAACTGTTGTGCTCACAGGCAGCCAAACCTACCTATTCTGTTAATTCACATATTGATATGTTTTGCAGCAATCAATGGGAGCACTACTTGCTCTGATGCCAATATAATTTACCTGTATATGATATTCAGTGAGTGAAGGTAGCCCACCGCACTGGCCATTTCTGCTGCATAGAAGCGAGCTCGAGGTTCACGGAAACAGCGCTCTCTTTGTAGGTGGAAAAATAACTAGAAACAGAGAGATAAAAACTTAGGCAAGTAGCACAATGTTTCGTAAGTCCTCTTTTTATTTAACAGAATCGAGAGACCCGAGTAGAACAGTATCATACACTCTGCTCAAACAATTTTTAGCACTTTCATTTAAGAAAGCAATTTCATTCCTGCTTGGAAAGTTGGAAGAATTATTTTGCCCACTTTTTAATGAATAGATTTTACTTTCATTGATAACTTTTAATATCTTGTGGAGCATCAATATTCCCCTAGGTGAAGACTAGAACTTACTTTCCATGCTCCTAGTTCAGGACATTAGCCACTATATCATGATAGCTATCATTTTAATGTATTCTTTATTATGAGTTTGGCTGTTTGTTCTTTTCATTGTAAACTACTTCAATATGCGTTGGCATAGGAAATAGTGCACATATATTGTAAATAATAATGATAATGATAAATATTATTTATGCAACCCTAGTTATGTAACTAGATCACTGCCTGATTTTAACATAATTTCATAGGAAACTGCTCCAGTATTTTATAAAGGTAGTTCTCAACTTATGACCAATCGCTTGGTGACCTTTTGATGTTTTGACAGACTCTCCCAAAGAGACTTGCAACCTGGTTCTGAACTTCTGACCGCCACCATTATCCCTTGCAGTCACATGACTGCATTTTAAGTGCTTGGCAACGGGTCCCCATTTATGACCATTTTCAGTGTCACACACCATGATTTGTGACATTTTTTATGAAAACTGATATTTATTTCCAGGTTTTGGCAAAAACACCCCATTGTGAACAATGAGGTCACTTAATGACAACAGCATTTGTTTGATGACTGCGTTTGCTTTACAGCCACCATATTCATTTTATGACTGCTACAAAAAAAGGATGCTAAATGTAGTTGGTTACATGGGTGACCTGCTTTATGGCCATCACAACGTATGAGCATAATTCCATGCTCAGTTAAGGTTGCGAGTCAAGGACTACTTTTAGTTTTAGTCTTCTGTCCAAGGTTGATTCAGTTATCATCCACCCATGCACTGAATCGAGTGAAGGAGAAAGGAGTGAAGGAGAAAATGTCAATGTGATTTAGACTGAAAAAGCAATCTGCCAATGATGCTAGGATTTCTGAAAAAGAGCACTGACAGGTACTTGCCTCTCCTCCATTTACATAATCCAGTACAAAGTAGAGTTTCTCCTTGGTTTGGAAAGAATAGTGGAGTCCCACAAGGAAAGGATGTTTCACATTCTTCAAGAGCACATTGCGTTCTGCCATTATGTGGTTTTGCTGTCAAGAGCCAAGAAGGACAAAAATGCAAATATGCAGGTTTTTTAAATAACATGTAGCAAAAAGAACTACAGAAAGTGGGGGAGATTTGAATGAGGGATCACTTAAATGTTTTTACTTGCTATTTTCTGATGTCAAATAGCATCATTAAATGGTTTTTTTTAAAGAGACTGTAGAAAGGAATATTTTTTTTTAATATAGTGCTCTTATGGCTTTTTTAAATAAATTGAATGTATTAGAGGAATCGATTAAAGATGTATGAATGATATGGCTCTCACACTGAGTATTGTATGCAATCTGCCAGCTATTGATAAATTCTATATGCCCAATTCACTTTTCCTCCATATTGTTGTCAGCTTTACTTCAGAGGCTTAGAAACAGAACATAAGAAAAGCATATAGGAAAGTCCATTCTTTCTGACATGGAGAGTTAAGAAGGAATTGAGAGCAAATCTGGTTTCTAGTGGTTGTAGATTTGGGGGGGGGGTGCTTGCAATGTGCTGTCATTTTGTGACATAATGGCACAAGAACATGAGGGATCATTCCAGTAGCAAATGCAGGGGTTTTCTTATGCATGATAGGCCTCATAGATAGACCAAGTTCCTAACTGGATCAGAAGAGAGTAGCATAAAATAGTTCCTAAAGCCTAGAAATTATTCTCATATACTATTAAATTCTTGATAGAAATATACACATGCAAGCATACATTTTTTATATCTACCAACAAGATTGTTGCACAAGCTAAAATATAATCAATATCTGTCATTTGGTTAAAAAAGATCATACTATATAGAGGAAGGCAGAAGTAGCAAAATATTCTGCACTCAATGTAAACAAAATATCTTTCAAACTTACCTCTTTTTTCTTAAGGATGGACTTTTTCTGCAAAACTTTTATAGCATAGAATCTTCCATCAGACTTGTGTTTGGACAAAAGGACCTGTAGTAGAAATGAGAGACCAAGAAGTTTCCACTTCCAGTTGGCCTGTTTTAAAAACACAATGCTAGCAACAAAAAATCTATGTAATATACATTAAAAATATAAGAAATATAAAATGCTGAAAAGAGTTTATTTTTTTTAATCGTACCAAAAAGAGACGCCTGTTCTGAGGGGAAAAAATTGGGAACAAAAATCAATACTTACCGTAACTGAAAATATTTGGGATTATAATCTAGAAAAATAGCAGTAGCCTATGACTGGCTAATCTATTCCATTTATAAGTGCTTATTTCTTTCAATATGTCAAGCTAAACTGAGATACTCATTTTAAAAAGTAAAATAAATACTCTGGAATTTCTGAATGGAATTTAGGAAATGGGACTTTTAATATGGAACTGTAATTATATCAACCCAAGGCCTTTGCATAACTTCATCTGGTATGCCAGCTGTACCAGCAATGCTGTTTCCTGGATCAGGAGGTATTTTGGATAGTCTCTCACACCCTGTTTACCTTGCAGCTTGACTACTGCAACATACTCTATACGAGGCTGGCCTTGACAACCATATAGAAGCTTCAGTTGGTCCAGAATTAGTATCAGCAGTGATTGCCATTATGGTTCCAAGTACAGGTAGTCATTGACTTACAACAGTTCATTTAGTGACCGTTCAAAGTTACAACGGCACTGAGAAAAGTGCCTTATGACCATTTTTCACACAACCATTGTAGCATCCCCATGGTCTCATGATTTACATTTGGATGCTTGACAACTGACTCATATTTATGATGGTTGCAGTGTCCCAAACTCATGTGATCCCCTTTTGTGAACTTCTGACAAGCAAAGTTGTCAGAGCATGCATAGTCTTATTGCGCTGAGGTAACCCAGGAGTAAATACAGTAAACAGTGGTCTGTATTAAATGGTGGCTTATATTACACTATCTAAAAATATACACTAGAAACAAGATACATACACATGGTCATTCAGCAAACTCCAATATACAGCAATTACCGCAGGAAAGGGATGAGACAGAGAGATTCAAGCAAGGCCTTCCCTTTTATACTCAAGCTCTTAAAGGGATACAGACTCCTGCTGAGTCATTCCTAACATTGCATCATTCATTTCATATTATACAAGCTGGTTAGCTTCTAAATCATTACGTTGACAAAAGTGAATGGGGAAACCAGATTCACTTAACAACCCTGTTACTAATTTAATAAATGCAGTGACACATGTGGCAAAAAAAGTCTTAAAATGGGGCAAAACTCACTTTAAAAATTCTCATTTAACAACATACATTTTGGGCTCAATTGTGGTCATAGGTTGAGGACTACCTGTATGTTTCAAGGTGCCAGTTATTACCTATAAAGCTGTACATGTAACATAGCTTGTTTACTTGAGGGAACACAAATTTCCTATAGTATCTCCCTGTGCAACCCAGTCTGGCAGTTTAGACATGATCTGGATTCCTTTGATTAAACAATGCCATCTATTGAGACCCCAGAGGTGCATCTTCTCTGTAACACTGCCTGCCCTCTGGAACAAGGTTCTCCCCAAGATCTGGAGGGTCTTTACTTATTGGTGTTTCAAAGAGCCGTGAAGACTTGGCTCTTCATCCAGGCCTCTTGCAAGGGTAATTGAAGCTCCTTTCTGGGCAGACAGTGAAAAACTAGAGTAATGTGGTAGACTTTGTAGGAGGAGAGCTTAGTTAGTCTACTGTGGCAAAAAAAAAAAAAAAATCAGAAGTCTGGTAGCACCTTTTCTAACAAATTTTATTTAAAGGTATAAGCTTTTGTGAGATCCAGTTGATGAAATGAACTGCTACTCATGAAAGCTTATACTGCTTAATACATTTCATTAGTCAGAAAAGATGCTATCAGACTCCTGATAATAATCTCAGTGAACCCAAGCTGGCAGCAACAATAAAATCATTTCACTGGAGTATTGATCTTCTAGGAGCTCAATAATACTCTCAGAGAAATGGACAATTGAAATGCCTAGGTCAAACACCACCATCACCATTCCAAAAATGCCTGTCTGAGTTATCAAAAGAGCTGATTTGAAATACAGAGCAAAGGCTCTTAAACCAGACAGCTCTCGGTGCTATTGTGCCTCTCGTTCTTTCCTTCCTTTTATCCTCATGAGGTGAATTAGCCAAATGATCTTTTAAATTACTAATTGTTTGTGTCCCACCCTCCTTATGCTGGCCTATGACTGTAACAAAGATTTGATTTGATCTTTTTCTTTCTCATGCCTATCATTCCACATGTTTCACACACTTCCATATTTTACAATTTCTCCAGCACACAACATATACCCCTATATATACGGTGCATAACAAATAGCCAGACTCCTGGCTGACAAAAATATTGATTTCTTTTGACAGTTTGGTATCCCAGCATAAGGAGAAAAAGATCAGGTAGTCCAAGCCAAAATAACCATGATGCAGGACCCAGCAACTGCAAAGCATTTCTGTAGCAGATTGCTGGAACAATGGGAACTGAGCAGTGCCCTGGCCATAATGACATACAAGTAATCCTTGACTTACAACCATTCATTTAAGACCATTTGAAGTTACAATGACACTGATGAAAGTGACTTATGACCAGTTTGCACATTTATGACCATTACAGCATCCCCACAGTCACGTGATTAAACTTTGGGTGCTTGGAAACTGGCATGTATTTATCATGGTTGCAGTGTTCCAGGCCCCTGGGATTGTCATTTTCAACCTTACTAAGAAGCTTCTGACAGACAAAGTCAATGGAGGGAACCAGATTCATTTAAAGACTGCACAATTCATTTGACAAATGTAGTGATTTGCTTAACAACCATGGCAAAAAAGATAGTAAAACAACACAATTCACTTAAAAACTACCTTGCTCAGCAATGGAAATTTTGGGCTCAGTTGTAGTTGGGATTACTTGTAATTTCTAAAGCACTCAAAACTTTACGCATGGAAAGTTTTATATTGGGAGAAGAAGGGAAATACTACTTCCAGACTAAAAGATCTTTCTTTCCTTACCTGCTCCACTTGTTCTGAGGCTGCTTTCCACTCAGACACATTGCTCTTCCCAATGGCCTGACCGCCCACTTTAGCACTCTCCCTCTGTGAGCCTCCGGCGCTCCACCTGCTGCCTTGTTGGCTCTGTAGGCAGAGCTGCGAACTTCGCAGCTCTACCTGCAGAGCCACCAAAGCTGTAGCTGAATGGGCAGGTGAGAGGGGAACCTGCCCCAGTTGTTCCATGGCCGCTTTCGGCTGAGCCGCATTGCAGCAGCATTGGGCGCAATACGCAAGGTGGCAAACAGCCGTGTCACACCGAAACCAGCCGTTTGTTGCCTCCTGCCCAATGTCTCTGCCATGAGGCTGCGGAACAAGCTGGGTAGCGGTAAGAAACCGGTATACTGGTTTCTTACCTCCATCTGGCTTGTTCCGCAGCTTCGTGGCAGCGACATTGGGTGCGACATGCGAGGCTGCAAATGGCCACGGCCAGCGGCAAACAGCCACATTGCGCCAAAACTGAGGGGCTGGCAGGCTGTGGCTGCTGATCGACACAGTTGGCCCCCATGTGCTCGCTGTGTGCAGGGGCTGATGGTATCAGGCAGCAGCTGCCCTGGCCCCTGCTTCACCTTGCCTTGCCCTGTGGCAATGGCACCCCTGCCTGTCCCCTATCTCGCCTCTCCTCACCCTGCAGGATGAGCCTCCTGCCCACCATTCCACCCACCAGAGACCCCCTGGATCTCCCCCAACCCTGCCCGACTCCCACAGGCGTCCCTCCCCATGAGCAATATCGAGGTGGCCACGCCCACCCCAGCTACACCCACTCGGCACCCAAAAATAAATAAGTGGGGTTTGGTTTGCAGTTTGGGCACTCGGTTCACCATCACTGGCCTAAGGGATCCACTTCACTGTGCCTTATGATTGGACTATTCTGACTGGGAAAATAGCATGTGCAAATGCTACATTAATTCCCAAAGGTCAAAAGCCATGATGAAAAACTATTTAGATCAACAAGTAGTCCACAAGAAAACTTCCCAAACTAGGTTACTTACTTTCCCAAAGCTTCCTTTGCCAATTATTTTTAGGAAGTCAAAATCAGTTGGCTTGGCACTATTAGAAAAAAAAGAGAGATGAAATAAATACATCAAAGGCCTTCTTCTGTATTGGTTAGAACTTTCTCCTCTACCTCTAAATCAATCATAGTACATTTTTGCAGAGTGGATGATAAAATGGATGTACAAAGGCTGACAAGTTTAGAATTGTATTTTACTTTAATTTCTGTCCCAGTGTCATTCATTCCATGAGGGCTTATTTAGGGGTGCAGGACTCAAAGCACAATAACTCTTTCTACTAACCCCCCCTCCAATGGTTTCTCACTTTCCCAAAATCTGCTGCTCTAGTTTGGAAAAAGGTAACCCGACATGGGTGTTCCCCTGCCCAAAAGCAAACAAGAAACATCAGGACACAAAGACTTCTTGTCATCTGTGAAGATAAATATGTATGTTTTATTGGCTGAGATGTATAGGTTTTATTTTCTGTGAGCTATTACAATGCAATTCTAAGTGAGAAAAATAATAATGAAGCCCATTACTGGGCTTCAGGTAACTTTTGTGTAAAATATTAACACAGTTAACCTTTCCCCAGGCTGTAATTTCATTCAGCCCATACTCTTCCCCATCATTAGGATACACTGCAGTCCCTGCACTTACTCCTTGCCTGTCCTACCAATGAATTATTAGCAGCTTATAAAGAGAAGGTTTTTACTAGAGCTTGAAATGACTAGCCTTAGTGAGACAAAATATAGATGGAGAAGCAGCCATTTCTTTGTATTCTATAGTGCTATGAATAGTCTTTTCCGTGGTCTTACTTGGGATTAGCAGATGGTCCAAGGTTGATATTGTCACTTGGTGATGAAGGCTATAGATAGAAAATAAAAAAATCATGAAGTTGAATAAGAATTCAGTTAAGACAATCCTTAATCTACAACCATTTGTTTAGCAACCAATTGAACTTACCATAGCACTGAAAAAAGTGACTTACTACCAGTCCTCGCACTTACAACCATCATAGCATCCCCAAGGTCACAGGAGCAAAATTTGAGTGCCTGGCATGCATTTACAATGGTTGCAGCATCCCAGGACCATGGGATTGCTACCTTCCCAGCTGGCTTCCGGGAGCAAAGTCAATGGGAGAAGCTGAATTTGCTTAATGACCATATTATACACTTAACAACTGCAGTGATTTGCTTAACAACCATGGCAAAAAAGGTCATAAAATCACTTAACAACTGCCTTGATAAGCAATGGAAATTCTGGTCCCAAATGTGGTCATAAGTCAAGGACCACCAGAACACTAGCTAATGCCACATCTATGAAAAAAAAAACAAAAGCTATCTAATTGCTAGGAATGGTAAATTTGCAGAGAAACCTGAACCAGGGTAACCCAGCAGTCTCCCTAACGTGATGTTCTCTAGATCAGGGGTCCCCAACCCCCGGTCTGTGGACCGGCACCAGTTCACGGCATGCCCGGAACCGGTCTGTGCAAGCAAGCAAAGCCCCATCAACAGGATGCAGGCAGCATACAAAACCATACCCCCTCCAGTCCACAAAAAAGCCCTCTCCATGGAACTGGTCCCTGGTGCCCAAAAGGTTGGGGACCTCTGCTCCAGATGTGTTGGATCTCAGCTCTCATAATCAGTAGCCAGTCAACAAATCCAAAGGAATCACATTTGGACAGACTGGCCTGTGATTGATGAAACTATGTAAATTGTAGTTTTTCTCCTGGCAGATCTAAGGCAGCTAAGAAACTTTGCCCCATCTTCTCTTTGTTCAAAATTTTCCCATCTCCAATACTTTTAATAAAGATCTCAGCTTTTACCTGGCTATTATGCTCTGGGCTTCTGGAATGGTCCATTAAAACAGCTACTCTTTCAACACTGAGGGTTAAAAACACAATGATTAACTGAGAAAAGTGGAATAAGACTGAGACACTGAGACTCCACCATTACGTCACAGATCTCATTTAAACCCTGGGGGGTTAATTTGCTGCCATAGTGAAGAAATAAAACTTCTTATTAAACCATATCCCAACAAAGCCAGTACAGAGCTGTTATTTGTGATAACAGTTGGAATGGCATTTCAGCCATTTCCTGTCCTATTTTAAGTGAGGATTAATTAAAACTTTGTCAGCAAATTAATCTATTTTTTTCCTGCTTTTATCACAGAATAGTTAGAATCGTAGAGGCAGTTTGTATACTTTGCACACTTTTACAATTAAAGTTGTAATTAGATCTTTCAATGTCTTTTTGAAGTTTTCTTTATTTCCCCACCCAAAATCCACCCAAGTTGCAATTAGCCCTTAATAGGTACTCCTGTTGTACATTTCTCCTCCTTGTTCCCTATGAAATTATTAGCAGACTACATTGAAAGAATGATATTTTGTAATAAGGAAGGATTGACTGCATATATACCCTGCAAACTCTGATTCCTAACATTTTGGAGCAAACTCCCACAAACCAAGCATGAGACATTTTCAGATGTAATGCTCCCCACCTCTCTTAGCAAAGGCTAAAAAAAAAATTATTTTGCAGCTCCACACTGCCCATATTTCTTAAAAGAAATGGTATTAAATAAAAGTACATTTCAAAATACCCCCTGAAGACCCTAAAGTTAAGTCTCATTTTCAGATATCTTGCTTAAGTATCTTACTTACATCTGCCTGATAAAAGCTCTCCTTAGAAGCGGAGTAGTGTAACAAAACCATATTGAGTAACAAATTCCAGTTTGTGCAAGTCGTGGTTCCCTCTGCATCCTGTCTGTGCCAGTCGGCTCATTTCGCTGCTTATTCCTGGTAGGAGGGCATCCTCAAGCTGAGTTTTAAAGGAACAGCACCCGATCAACAGAAAGAAACAGATACTCACTAGGAGCACAGCCTGGAACTGGAGGCCTTGATGGTCTGTTCCAACTTCTCTCGACCTTGTTTTATGAATTCTACAGAAAAAGGGAGTGGGGAAGTAGGGAGGAGGAGAGGAAGTTAGTAAACTAAATAAACGCTTCAGGTGGCAATGTGAACACAAGAAATATACACAGAGGCACATTTGTTCTACAATGACCTTGCCCTTCTCATGCTTCTATCCATAAGTCAAAATAAGCAGTCTTTATAAGAAGCAGAGGCAGGCCTGTTTGCTCTAGGAAGGAGTTTCAGAAACAAATTCTGAAACCAGGAGAGTATGTCCTAGAAGCAACAGCCTCCAGTCTCCCTTTCTAAGGACATTGCTGGCCTGCTTTTCTGAGTGATACAGAGCACATGATAAAAGAGCCTCTCTTAAATGCATCATACCTGGCACATATCCTGTGCCTCTCATTCAAAACTGTCTAAGCATTTTGTGAACACACATGGAGCAATATAAAACCACCACCCCCCTTTATCTCAAAGGTGATAAGTCACTGGACATAAGTCAATGTGGTATTGCTGGAATACAAGTAGTCCTTGACATACAACTATAGTGCTGTAATGGTCGTAAGTATGAAAAATGGTTATAAGTCACTTTTTTGAGTGATGCTGTAACTTCAAACAGTCACTAAATGAATTGTTGTAAGTTGAGGACTACCTGTACACATATTTTTAAGCACCCTTTCAAGATAAAGACAGTTGATAATATAACAGACATTAGAAATAAGCAAATTGACAGCCTTGGTAATATACTGTCATGTTTTAATAAAAGCGGTCATTTCCAGTTTGCTGTGACTACCATGCGTGCCTCTTAGATGGTATCTTGAGTCTTCCATGGATGAATCTGGTTGAGGTTTGTTTTTGTTTTAAAGTTGGTTAGAAAATAAACAATAGGCATCGAACAAAATAAACCACTGTCATAGTTGTTGATAACAGATACACAGGATGCGTGCAGAAACTCTCCAAAAGGATCTGGGATATCGATTGGATCTCTAGAAACAATTTAATCCAGTTTGCAATATAAAACTTCTGAGTTAGATACTTCTTCCTCTATAAATGGATCTTGAGCAAGATATTCTAAATATGGAGTTCTATTTCCCCACTGTCTTACATGGCCGCCATGTTACTATTATTATAATAGGATGCTTTACACAAAAACTAGACTTTATAAGGAGATCAAGTGTGATAAATGTCATAGACAGTGCTGGCTGGAAGTCTCATCACTTCTATGGAAATCGGTGATAGACATTTGCCTCCAAAGTCACAGCTTTCATCTCCCTGTGATAGCTGCAAATTTAAATTAATAGAAGGAGGAACAGGAAAACATTCTTGCTTTGAAGAAAAGCAAAACAGACTTTTAAAATGTTTTCCCAACCCTATATACGTATGCAGTAAACCATGAAGAAGAATTTGAAAAGTAATACAAAGAAGAATTTGAACTATCTTTTTAAAGATCTGATAATTGGCAGATAGAACTGCCAATCAAAGAATGGCAATATTCCAGCAGGAGAGGGACCCATGAGAGGGGGTCTTGGGAAGTTAAGGTGGAAGGTCTAAGGGAGCCTCAACAGCTTTATATTAACTGCCCCCCAAAATCAAGAAGCTCCTTTTTAACTATTTGACAAAAGTCAAGTTGTTCCTTTCTTCATGTATACTTTGTTGTCAACTTTACATTTACATTGAACAATGTGTCTGCATTCCTATTATTTATTCAAACTTTTCATATTTGTAAAACATGCATTTGTTTTCTTAATCTTTCATTTGTTTGGAGAAATATTCTAAGGGACTTCAGTCCACCAAAAAGAGTTGGTATTGGAAGGAAAAAAAGAACTGTGCTTAATTTAATTTATAACATTTAAATAAAATGAAATCAACCTGGTTCTCCAATATTTAAATATTAAAGAATTTCATCTTTCTGTCACAAACTAGTAGATTTTCAGTGGTTTCGGGAAGATGAATTTGATGAGTCCTTATGCTGTATACAGTTAGTAATTGCTTTAATTTAAACTTGCACACATATACGCCTCTCCAAAAATCATGAATGCCATGAAAAGGCCAGGTTCAGCAACTTCTATATATTTTGGGTTTGTATTAGTTTATAGTCCCTGTGAGCTGCTATTTCAGATAGCACCGGTAAGATGAACCACTACATCTGTTATCCAAGCAATTGTATTCCTGTAAGTGCTCTTCTCATTATTACAAGGGTTTTTTTAAGAAAAAAAAAGCAACCAGAAAGATATGGAATCATCGAGGTGAAAAAGTCGATTTGGCTTTCAAATCCAACCTCCCATACTACAGTATACTGTTAGTAACACTGTCGGTCAATACAGAAAGGGCAGAGGGGGAAAAAAATCCAGGGAAATGTTTTGTTGCTAATGTTCTGCTGCATTCTATGTAAAAAATAACATCAGAATGACATATCACAAAATAACAGTTTTGTCTAAACAGATCAAAATCAAGGATCAAATGTAACAAAAACATATGACTCTTAATTGCAATAATATTGTTTGATTCTTGGCTCTGATTTCATTTTTCATAGTCATGGCATGAAGATTGGATTGCTCAAACTGTGACTGACCTACACATGACCTACAAATTTCAAAACAAATGCAAATGCTTAGCACCAGTGACAAGAAGAAGTCATCAGCAAGGAAGGAGCTGATCCATCTTAGTGAAATAATCCAATGCAGTAAATAATTAGCAAACTCCCCTGAAAGAAAATATTGGGTAAACTTTGTTTAGATCATCACCAGGAATCATTTGGAGTTAAAGGGAATCACTTGATTCATGGCTGCATGCTATTAGCATCACTAAAGGTGCAGAAGAATCATTCCTCATGAATCACTGAACCTTACTCCCTCAGACTTCTCTAATTCACATCCATCTTTATGAAGATTCCATCCCAACTTAAATTTTAAAAATCATCCCTATTACCAATTAGTCTCCTGTCATATAGCTTCAGTACATTTAGTGATGTTTTTTTAGCCAAACAAAAGTAATTTTTTTTTACTATATAAAAATCTTTAAAGTGGGTGCTCCTCGGTACACCCACGTTACACCTATCCTCCGTGAGCTGCACTGGTTGCCTATTGGTCTCCGGGTCCAATTCAAGGTGTTGGTTATTACCTTTAAAGCTCTATATGGCTCAGGGCCAGGCTATTTGCGAGACCGCCTACTACCTCATAGTTCCCTTCGTCCGGTTAGATCCCACAGGCTGGGCCTCCTTCAGGTCCCGTCAGCCAAGCAGTGCCATTTGGCGGGGCCGCAGGGGAGGGTTTACTCTGTGATGGTGACCACGTCTTGGAAGCAGCTCCCCCCGGAGATTAGGACCGCTCCTACCCTGTTGGTTTTCCGCAAGCTGCTTAAGACCTGGCTTTTCCGGCAGGCCTGGGTTTTATAAAATCTGACCCCTGGATGAATGTTATTGTATTGTTTGTTTTGTTAAGTTATGTTGTGTTTTTATTGTTAGCCGCCCGGAGTCTTGCGGGAGTGTGGCGGTCTATAAATTTTAATAAATATAAATAAATATAAATATAAAGCAGGGCTCCCCAACCAGTATTGGTCCATGACCTGTTAGGAACTGGGCTACACAGCAGGAGGTGAATGGTGGGTGAGCAAACAAAACCAAAACCATCACCCACCCACCCCACACAGTCCATGAAAAACTTGTCTTCCACAAAATTGGTCTCTGGTGTCAAAAAGGTTGGGGACCAACCACTGCTTTCAAGTACATCCAATCCAGCTATTAATGCAATGAACAACCTTTTGTGTGGAAGGTCACCATCAACATTCCTTCACTAATAATGATTGAGGTTAAACAATCAGTGAATAGGACAAGAGGCAAAAATGGGTGGGAACATCCATTCTCCTACTGAATCTTCTTCTATCTTCTTTCCAGCATTCTCTGTTTCAATTTGCACCAAAGGGCAGCAGTCTCAATTTGCAGAGTTTTTGAAATTCGGTCAAGGATTGTGTAAAGTTAGCATGAGGACTGGGTTTAGCCCTGAAGGGACAATCTGGCCACTTCCTAGGTAGAATCGATTAAAAATAGTTATGATTTTCAGCACAGAATGCAAATAAGTCCATATACCCTTTCTCTTTAGTTTTTTTTCAGCAGGTTCATGAACTGGATAGGATGGGGGTGGACCAGTCTCACACCCTCCTGTCTAATACTGCCAGCAATCATATTGACACTGTCAGTAGGCTGTTGCTGAATAATTCAGTTTCAAATATGCCATGACTCAGAAAGATTAGGAAGCAATGCCTTGTGGTTAGCCAAGACAAAGCAGTACAGACTGTTCTGCAACATAATTAAATCACAAAAGATCTTGTAAAAAGAGAACTCTTTAATGATGGAAATAGCTCCCTCATCAGCAACTTGCTAACATAATCATGCCACCTTTGTGACAATCTGAAATTTGTCCATCTAGAGCTCTGGCAAAAGAAAATATCTGTACCTGAAGCGCCGACCAGGTTAGCAATCTTTAACAACAATAAAAATTATGAGCACCCATATGAGCTTTCTGTAATTCTGATTGTAAATGGAATCTATATTGTATTATATTTTGTGATATGGTTAGGGTTACAATGAAAATCAGGAAATAACACATACAGCAGATCCGTGGCATTACTACCACACCCCCATTCACTGTTTCATGTCATCCATGGAAAATGCCATTTTTTTCTGGTTGCTGTAATAAATCCTGAAAATGCCCCTTTGAAGGTGCTGCTTTATAGGGATTCCACAGAGTTCCGGCACCTTTTTTGGATGGAACCTTGTAGGATAGGCAAGGCGGGTTGTATGACGTGTATAAGTTCTGGCACCTTTTTTTTTTTTAACAAAAAAAGCACTGTCTATACTTATTTTTGGTATGCTGTTTAACTGCGCTAGTGGCTCCTTGCTTGATGGCTTACAGTTTGCTGTGCTAGACTCTCTCCTCTGCTTACTTCCTGAATCCTATTCCTTAAAAAAATATTTTCTGTCCTTAAGATGTAACCTTTATAACAGTATTCTCAAAAGCTGGGAAAGAAAAGAGAATTGTTTAAAACTAGGCAGTAGAGAAACAGTTGGACATTGTAACCTTATCTCTTAAGCTGGAGATTCTGACAGGAAATCTAGGAAAAAGAAATTCAGACAAAAAGCCTGCCTTAATGCTGTTTTCTTTTTTGTTTCTAAGTTTCTGTATGCTAACCTCTTTTTCCTGTCATTACATTTCATAAATGTGATGGTATATGGTATATGCATTTTGCTTTCTTAGTCATACATTGCTCTTGCAAACCCAGTATAGTATTTTGTTTTCTAGACCTAGATAATGGCAACTGACCCTAGGGAACACTGCTGATGGCTGAACCGGTTACTATAATGTTATACCCCCTCCTTCTTTCCAGAATACAAAGCTAAAGAATGAAGACAGAAGATTTTTCTGCATAGGACAGAAAGAAATCTTAAGTCCTGCCTTCTAACTAGAAAATGTGGATTCCTGATAACTCCATCTTTAGTGACCAAGAACAGAGCTAAAACTTGTTCCTGGATCTGGATGAATCCACAGATGGGAGGGATCTGTTGGAACAATTCTGTTCTTCATCTCTGTTTATTTTGAAATAGTTTTAGCTATCTGCTCAGACACAGCTTTTTTTTCTTAAGTAATTATCCTTAATCCAACTCTTGAATATTTGAGTTATAAGAGATGCCATTCTGTTCATCATATTAATTATAGCTGCATGAAAGCCCCCAATACCTTCCAGAAACTGCATGTAGAGGTAAGAAATGATGGATAAAAGTATTCAAAATTCCTGCAGGAATTTTGACAAATGACGAATTAGAATTACATTATAGATAGCACAGTTAAAAAGTGATATACTATATGTAATCAAAGAGATAGTATCTATCCCAGCATGAAATTAGATTTTTACGCTGCCTCAGTTGCCATTTTGTACTGAAAACACAAGACCATCTTTTTGGTACAATTTAATGTACTTTATGCATTTGTACAAGTCATATTAATAGCCTCATATTTCATCAACAGCAACCCACTACTGTGGAGAATATGAAATGTCTCTTTGTCCATCCACCCATCCACAGGTAGTCCTCAGATAACAACCATTTGTTTAGCTACTGTTCAAAACTATAATGGTACTGAACAAGAGTACTTATGACTGGTCCTTGAAGTTGCAGCTGTCACAGAATTCCCATGGCAATGTTATTGCAATTGGTTGCAACTGTCAGCAGTGCCTCAGATAGAAAGTCCATACAGAGAATGGTAAGGACAGCTGAGATCATAAGAAGCTCGCTCCCTGATATTCAGAATACTGCTTATGAGTGCTATGTGCTTAGAGCTCAAAGCATTGTTAGAGACCCCACACACTCACTTTACATTCTGTTTCTGTTGCTCCACTCTGGGAGGAGGTTTCAAAGTATTTCTAGCAGGATTACCCAATTCTGTAATAGCTTTGTTCCGTATTCCATCCGTCTGGTAAACTCGCAAGATTCGTTTTTCTCACCATGCACATGTATACATAACCTGAACTAGTCTGTTGTTTCTCTATGTCATATAATATGTGGGTATATGCATATTTCTGTATTTATTTATTTATTTTTGTCATATTTATGTAGTGTATATCGGAGTCAAGATTATAGATTGTCATCAATCATAAACAAATATTTTGTTCAATCTAAAAGTGATTTTCTTGGGCGCATCTTTAGCCATTAGGATTCTTCTGTCATCTTCATTTTTTAAATGAAAACATTAAAAATCCTCCAATTAAATGTTCAGAAATGGTCTTTTCATACCTCTTTCAATCATATCCATATTACTGTGAAATTCTACAACTTTAAAAAAACCTTGATATTTCTGAAGCAAAAAAAGTAAGACAAATCTCTCTGAATCAACCCTTCTGGGCTAGTTTTTGTACAATTCAGGAATTCCATTTAACAAATTCCAGGTTAGTGTCGAGGAAGACAAAGTTGGATTGAGGATAGGCTTTTATGAGTCTAATCTTCTTTCTTTTTCTAATGGGAGAGAAAATAAACTAACTCCAGCAGTTAAATAAATATTTGAGCTGCTACTGCTATTCCTGTACACTTACTAAGGAGACTGCCCAATCAAACCACATCTGAAGATTTATCACAGTGCAAGGAGTATTTTAGAATACTGAACATTTCTTAATATTAGTTGATGAGGTATTTGAGAAGGAAAAGCTGCTGACTCTATGCTTTGTGGTAGGTTTCTCAGAGGCATATTTTGGGACGCAGTTCTAAAAACCAAAATAATTTATGCTGGGTTAGATTGGTGAGATTGAGCAGAGCTGCTGGTAGAAGCAGGAGAGATGCTAAACTTGCAAATATAATTTATACAGATGCATCTTTTCCAGGATTTCCATGACTGCACAACTTGTTTGCTTAGGAGGCAAAAAATAAAAGAAGCCATTTTCCAAAGCAGTCATACAAGTTGTAACAAGATAGGAATTTCATACATATTTACATTACAAACAAATCTTTTGAAGGCTCCACACAGCCCAAAGATATGATAACTGAATTCCGTGCAAACTAAGATACTGATAACACTTTAAAAAAAAAAAGCCTCTGATCTGTCCTTCCTCTTTTAACAGCTTTCTGATCTGGAGTCAAGATAAACCTTTCTCCACTCACAAAATATAATGTTTCCTTACAGGCAGCTGCCCCCAAACGCAAACTTTGCATTGTTTTTAGAATAATAATAAAAAAAACCTTCTTTCCAAAAGCAGCAGGCCTCTGTATCTTGATTGCTTCCCAGCTTGGAAGGAGCCCAGCAAATTCTCCCAACAATATGTAAAATATCTTCTTTTGTTGCTATGATGATTTTAACTAATATGATTTGTTCCTGGCTGACTTTCTATGGGCTTTCTATGCACATGATCCCAGAACAATGGGAGGTAAGGAGGTAAGCAGGTGAAAACAGGGTGCAACAAAGTGCTTTGAAACAGACTTAGGTATGCCATTACAGTTTTCTTAACTAAATAGTTATTTCACCACAATGATGTACCCTCAGCCTGTGAACCCAGAAAAAAAAATGCAACTTGTTAAAGGAGATATTATTAAGTATCAATAAAGGAGAATATTGGTAGCTCAGGGTTCAAATGAGGGGTCTTTGGTGCCATCTAAGCTTGATTATTTTTTGGTAGCACTGATGATGTTTGGGTAATGAAATGTCTGCAAGAAAACAACCAAGCTCAGAGAACACCAAGGCCCCTCACTAACAAGTATGGTTTGTATACTCAAAATTCCAAGGCAGCTTCTCTATTTTGTAACTGAAGTGCTTCCCTACCTTCATGGAATACTTGTGCCCTAGGCCAGATTCAGAATCTGAAAGAAAACATACCAGAAGAAAACAATGGCAAACCACTTCTGCATTCTTACCAAGAACTGCCTATCAAATTCCCAGGAGTTGAGTTCAGCTCAAAGGGCACTTACTTGCTGCTCTGACATTTCATCATTGATTTACATCATTTAAAGGACATACCTGTTAAATGAACTGGATTTTAGGAAAGTATTATGGATGTGTGCATTGAATTTGGGTAAACTCCAGATTACAAAAAAAAAAAAAGATAATTCTCATCAAAAGGATGGTGCGCTAAAGTGGAAAAGATCAGTCTGAAATCTGGTCTTGATTACATTTTGATAACAATTGTATCTCCGCAGCATTGCAATGCTTTTGTGATTTACATAAAGACCATAGTGGAAAGGCAAGGGATCATGCCACACATCCGAAGAAGTGACATGAAATAGCAAGAAATAAAAAAAAAATAGCTTCTTTGTCAAATTATTGGATATTTTTGAAAGCATCACTTTTCATGGGGTATTTTCAGGTTTGGAGTATTTTTGGCACAAATTTTAGAGTTCTCTAAATACATCATCACAGTTGAAGTAAATAATAAATATTCTTCCATGTTTATACTTTAAAAATCTATTTCCAAAGTTTTCTTTTTTAGCCATGTATCTGTACATATTGTATATTCACCATGATGTAGCAAGAGCAATGCTAGGATTAATTTCCATTCTAAGTCACCAGAATTCAGCCTGGGCAATAGCACCAGCATGCTAAATGAAGCATAATATTCACTGTTTAGCACGATTCAAGGTCATGGCATAAGGATAAAAACAGTAGAACCTGACTAGCAACTTTTCTCTATATCTCAAAATCCATTCCAAGTCTAGTAATTACTAGTTTTCCCTCCAGTGTCAACCGGTACACAACAATATGAAAGAATTCTGATGGATACCAGGCACAATACTTCTGGGGAGGACCAGAAATGACCATTTAATTTGTAATTAAAAGTAATCACGAGTTCAGCCATAGATTGGATTGATGACCACCAAAATTTATTGGGTTCCATTCAATGGCAGCAGCTACTTCTACAAATCATTGCCCCCTTTTCTAGGGATACACCTAGAATGATGATAAAAGTAAATGTGGAGTTGTCCCTATGGACCTCTTTTCCAAAACAGCGTCAAATTCTTTATTGTAAATTATTTGGGGGTGGAGAAAGAAAAGTTAAAATTCCATACTCAATTTTTTTCCCACTCGTTACACATTAATTTATTACAATCAAATTCATGCTACAATAAAATCAAGCTTTCTATAAAAGGATATTAAATTAATTAATAAAGGATTGTGAACTGTTAAGTTTGTAGAAATAAAAGTCACATACTGGCCACATATTTAACAGCTTCTGCAGGAAGATAAAATGAATAAAGTAGACTGAAATTTTGGTTGCCTAAAGAACTGGACATAAATAAATCAATATTATTAGGGGACAAAAAGATGGTCATCCAGATGTATAACATTTCTACAAAGTAGCTAAGGAGAAATGCAGGTATCATTGTTATATAATACATTAGTTAACTGGACTAAGCTAAAAAGTCTTATTTTAAATGTACCAGCAGTTTTTGATATGTTAAAAATGGAGTGGATAATCTATAGTCCAGGGGTCTTCAAACTTGACCCTTTTATGACTTGTGGACTTCAACTCCTAGAATTCCTCAGCCAGCATGCCTGGCTGAGGAATTCTGGGAGTTGAAGTCCACAAGTCATAAAAGGGCCAAGCTTGAAGACCCCTGCTATAGTCCATGAACTACAGACAATCCCAAACACTTTTCATGCAACTCTCATACCACCCAAGATAATACTGCTGAGAATTCTCCAATAAAAAGCAGTATTGACAGCAGAATTTTTTCCCAATGTCTGCTGGGAAATTTAAAAAAAGTTTTGTAAAGTTATATGCTATTGAAAAATATGGCATTGACTTTTATTATATTGAATTCCTAAACATTATTCTAGAATTACATCTGTCAGTATGATAGCATTAAGGACAAAATAAGTAGCCCATTCATTTAGCCAAACCTGGTGACAGAATTTGGTAGGAACAACAGTATAATCCACTCACTCTTTTTCATTTGCTTAAAGACACTAAGACAGTGTTCTAAAAATATTTAAACAGTGAAGTGCTGAAGGCAATGGAACAAGTCAAGTAAAAAAATGCATACTATATGATAAACTTTTAAAAGTTCAAAAAGGTTAAAAACCAAGAGTAGAGACTTATCTTAGCTCTGAAGGCACTGCATACAGGATGATGTATTTAGTATTTTATTGGATTTGTAAAGCCACCTAATCATCAAATTACTCAAGCTGACATATAGAATGAGTTTAAAACTTAGTAAAACAATAAAGAACAAAACTAAAGTACATCAAATAAAATAGGTCTATAAAAATGCCTGTCTAAAATACTAAAACTGATAATGGAGTTGTTTTAAAAAGAAGGTTTTTAAAAGGCAGCTTTAATTATTTTCATTATCCATGCACCTGTACTCTTAATAACTCAGAATAGAGAGACAGTAGTAGGTAGAAATGCCTCTCAGTGTAAGCTTTTTGCTGATTTCTGCAGATAATCTTTAAAAGCAAATACAAGGTTAATAGTTTTTTTCCACAGCTGCCACTTTACAAACCCTTTCACTTCAATGCACCATTTAAATGCATTGAAATTTAATTATCAGACTTTGTTATAAATCAAACCTTATTTCATTAATAAACAAACATATACTAAAATAGTAGAAATCAAGCCATTTATCATTTTTTAATATCTGTGAAAAGAAATTATAATTAACCAACCGAGCAAATATTGTTTGAGATTAAAGATTGTATCAGATATATCATCTTTCATTAGTGGATGTGAAATCTGCTATACTTTACCTTTTGTCTTTCCCAGTGTTGTGAAGAGGGCTTGTGCCCTTGGTGAGTGCATCAAGACAATCTGGGGGGATAGAGGTACAACTTGAAGAAATTCTTTGACAAGTTTGTCTGTTGGCCACTATCCTGTTAGCTAGGACGAGAGTTGTAGGATGAAGCTCCTTTAACTTATGTCCTCCTGCAAATGTTAAGATCTGCTCTCCTTCAGTAGGAAATGAAGCAAGATGTTATTATGCATTGGCTAGATGCCAGCAACATCACCTCTACACAGGTGGAATTTCACTGCAATACTCAGAACACCCATTTTGGGTAATTTACATATTTTTAAATAAGTTGTCTTTCAAACTAGTCTAGGAGGTGAAATGGGAGCTATCAGCTTATAGTATCGTTTCCTAGGTCAGAAGATGGGGTAGAGCCCGAAGATGCCAAGCACTAGAGAATACTTAAGATGCCAAGTCACCTTCTTCCATGCTTCCTCCAGAGGCTGAGCTCCTGATGTATCCTTAGGCGTACAAGAGGTGTAGAAATTTGATTACATGGGAGTAAGTTGTTACTCATAAGTAATCCCTCTGAATGATTAACCCTGATGAGTAGCAATTGGTACTAGATGGTAACTTTGAAGTTAAATTTATAGAAGCCATCAGGTAAGGCTATTAGGATACTTGGCTTTTGTACTCCTGAACTTCTGTAGTCTTGTTCTCAAATCTAGTTGAACATGCCATGATAATCTTTGTTAATTTTGTCCTCATGACAGGGCCTTTTTCTCATTTCCAGCTAAAGCAGCTTAATATTTTTAGCTATTGTTTTAAATAAGGGTTGTAATGAACAGAATCTAGAATACCTCATGTAATTAATGGGATTGGACTAGTTCCTATTGACCATTAGGCTACTACAAGACTTCCCCTCCCTTTCAGGCATTGGGAACTGCCTTCCATGGCCATTAAAGCTTAGGTTTCAGGACATAACTTTAATGAGGTTGTATGGGCCATTTTGGCTATTCCTATGCCATTGTCATTACCTGACAACGTCTGATACTGTCAGCCATACTGTTCACTGCCAGCACTGCAGTTCCTTTTGTAGTCTGCTTACCCTATTATCAATTGCTCCATTATTTCACCTGTCCTCTGTTTGTGATCTGTCAGCTGGGTTATTTTTGGACACAGATTTAACAGTATTTCAGAATGACACTAGGCCCTCAATCAGGAATAGCCTAACAATTATTGTAAGTGGAGTATCTCTGCACCTGCAACCTGTTAGTGTGATAGATAGCAAAACATGCTGTTCTAAGTACCTGCCCTAGAAGGAGACCTATTGATGATATATATTTTTAACCATCTATTGAGGCTTGATGAAAAGGGAAGCAAACTTCTTTGACTTATTCTGTGTTAAAATTGTAAGGACACTGCCACTTGCTAGCCTCATAACGTAGCTTCTCTAGTTGCTGATTGTGGTCTAGAATACCAACCTTTTTGTTTTCTCACTTGTTGGATGAACTTGTCTGTTTCGGTTTTTACTTTTTTTTCTGTTAAGCCTTCTTGGTCTCAGTCTGACATTTTTGAAATAGTTTTCATGAAAATGAATATAAATGTTGTGCATGTCTGTCTTAATGCTTATACTTATGTGCATGCCATTATGTAACATTTTTATTTTCTGAAGCATTTCCTGTATGCACAATCTGGTGTTATTTCCTTATTTCTTCTTTTAGCAATTTGTGGAGAGTTGAAATAAAAACTCACATTGAATCAATTAGTAATTATATTCATACATGCTTATATAATATTGTTATGAATTGTGGAAAGAATCCAGAGAAAGAAATATTTTGGGAAATATTAAAAAGGCAGAATATATTCCCCCAAAGGATCTTAAAGACAGAAACCATTCCCACCCCCAAGTCTCTCTGCCCCAAACAGAAACCAGGTCTGCAGAAATGCGGATGTGATAATCTTGTCAGATTATCTTGTAGACTGTAGGCTTACTTTCTCAGAGCTTTTACCAGTGTACAAGGACCAAAATGGAAAAGGCCAGCGCATAGCACAATTCAATATGTGGCTAAAGGAGTGGTGTAAAGGGGAAGGCTTTGGATATATTAGTCACGATGTCTGTAGCTGGTCCAATGAAAAGATGTACAAAAGAGATGGTTTGCATCCATCAAAGAAAGGGACTGAGTTACTCGGCTATAAATTCACAGATTTTCTGGAGGAAAATTTAAACTAAACAGCGGGGACAGTGAGTTAATTGATTCAGAACAACCCTGTCCCCGACAATCTAAAAATTATAGGGCTATCAGTGCATGTAAGAATACCAACCTTGCTGTCAAGCAAAATCAAGCCTCTAATAGTGAGTGCCACACAAAGTGCACTAACCAATTAGGTGATAAGACAATAGGGGAACTCAGGCACCACACAGGTTATGTAGAAAGTAAACAGGGCCGGTCATAAGAGCCGAGGTGGCACAGCAGTTAGAGTGCAGTACTGCAGGCCACTTTAGCTGACTGTGTTCAGCAGGTCAGCGGTTCAAATCTCACCGGCTCAAGGTTGACTCAGCCTTCCATCCTTCCGGGGTAGGTAAAATGAGGACCCAGATTGTTGGAGACAACGTAAATATATATATACATTGCTTACTGGTGTACACCGCTTAGAGAGTGCTTGCACTTAAAGCGGTATATAAGTCTCATAAATAAATAAATAAAGGACTCAAATGTCTATACACCAATGCACTGAGTATGAACAGCAAACAGGGTAAACTAGAAATTCAGGTTAATGAGGGCAGATATGATATTGTTGCCATTACGGAAAAATGGTGGGATGAAACCCACACATGGAACACACAGCTAGAGGGATTTAAATTATTTAAAAGAAACAGACCAAATAAAAGAGGAGGTGGAGTTGCTCTCTACATAAGTAATAACTACACCTCTACAGAAATAGAGCACAATGATAAAAACTGTCTTGAATGCATTTGGGTCAATATAAAAGGGGAAAAAATGACATTGCCATAGGTGTATACTACAGGCCACCCAGCCAAACAGAGGAAATAGATGAACTTTTTGCTGGTCAGCTAACTAAAGTATGTAGGAAGCACATCACAATAGTAATGGGGGACTTTAACTACCCTGACATCAACTGGGAGACAAACTCTGCACCAAGTGGAAGATCAAATAGGTTCCTAACAAACCTAGCAGACAACTTTGTCTCCCAAAAAGTAGAGAAGGGAACTAGGGGATTAGCCATTTTGGATCTAATTCTCACTAACAGAGATGAAATGATAGACGGTGTTGAAGCCATAGGAACCCTGAGAGGAAGTGATCATGAAATATTGGAATTCAACATTATGGAAGCACAAGCAATAGAACACAGTCAAACTAGAGTCTTGGACTTCAAGAGAGCTAATTTCAATAAACTTAGAGCTTGGGAAGGATTCCATGGATGAGAATCCTCAAGAGGAAAACAACTCAAGAAGCTTGGGAAATTTTGAAAAATGAAATAATAAAAGCCCAGTCTAGCACAATACCAACAAAGAGGAAAAATAACAGCTCTCAAAAGAAACCAGCATGGCTGCATAAAGAACTCTCTGACAAATTGAAAGATAAAAAGGACAAGTATAGAAAGTGGAAAGAGGGGCACATAACTAAGTCAGAATACCAGCAAATAGCCCAAGCCTCCAAAGGTGAAGTGAGGAAAGCCAAGGCTCAAAATGAACTAAGGCTTGCGACCAAAGTCAAAGATAACAAAAAAAAAGCTTCTTTCAACATGTAAAAAACAAGAAAAAAGTGAAGGAAATGATTGGTCCATTAGTGGGTGAAAATGGCAAGAAGGTGACAAGCAACAGGGAGAAAGCAGAACTATTTAACTCATTTTTTGCACAAAGGGAAAAAACAGACCAACCTATCAAAATGCAGCTGCGAGAGCGATTGTGGGCGCGCCAAGGTACGCCCACGTGTCACCTATCCTCCGCGAGCTGCACTGGCTTCCTGTGGGTCTCCGGACGCAATTCAAGGTGTTGGTTATCACCTTCAAAGCCCTTCATGGCATAGGGCCAGGTTACTTACAGGACCGCATTCTGCCGCACAGCTCCCAGAGACCGGTGAGGTCCCATAGATTAGGCCTCCTTCAGGTCCCGTCGGCCAGACAATGTCGGCCGGCGGGCCCTCGGGGAAGGGCCTTTTCTGTGGTGGCTCCGACCTGGTGGAATCAACTTCCCCCCGAGGTTCGAACTACTCCCACCCTGCCGGCCTTTAAGAAAGCCGTTAAAACTCTCCTGTTCCGGCAGGCCTGGGGCTGATGTCCTCGGGGGGCCGGGATATGATTGGACTCGCGGTATGACTGGATTATTTTATTTTATTGTTTTATGACTGTTTTTAACTTTGTACACCGCCCTGAGTCCTTTGGGATTGGGCGGCATATAAATATTTGTAAATAAATAAATAAATAAATAAATAAATAAAAATAGTGCCATAAAAAACAGAATAGAAATGCAAGTTAAGATAGGCAAGAAGATGGTAAGTGAGCACCTGTCCAGCCTAGATGAGTTCAAATCTTCAGGACCAGATGGATTACACCCCAAGATTCTCAAGGAACTAGCAGATGTGATCTCAGAACCACTGAAATATATTTTTCAAAGATCCTGGAGCACAGGGGAACTACCAGAGGACTGCAAAACAGCTGATGTAGTTCCCATCTTCAAAAAAGGAAAAAAAAATGGATCCAGGAAATTACAGACCTATCAGCCTGACCTCAATACCTGGGAAGATCCTGGAAAAGATAATCAAACAACAAATTAACGAACACCTAGAGGCAAACAAAATCATTACTAAAAGCCAACATGGGTTTGTCAAAAATAGATCATGCCAGACAAACCTTATTGCATTCTTTGACCAAGTGACAAAATTAGTGGATCAGGGGAATGCTGTGGACATAATTTACTTGGACTTCAGTAAGGCATTTGATAAAGTAGATCACAACCTACTACTTGACAAGATAGAAAAATGTGGGGTAGAAAGCACCACCACCAGATGGATCCGTAGCTGGCTGACCGGCCGTATTCAGCGTGTGGTCTTCAATGGAACTGCATCTACATGGAGGGAAGTGTGTAGTGGGGTGCCCCAGGGCTCTGTTCTGGGCCCAGTGCTCTTCAATATCTATATCAACGATTTGGACGAGGGGATAGATGGGGAACTCATCAAATTTGCAGATGACACCAAGCTGGCAGGAATAGCCAACACTCCAGAAGCCAGGCTTAAAATACAGAAGGATCTGGACAGACTTGAACACTGGGCACTATATAACAAAATGAAATTCAATGGTTAAAAAAAGTAAGGTTCTACATTTAGGCAAGAAAAACCAAATGTACAGATATAGTATAGGGGGTACCTTGCTCAACAGTAGTAACTGTGAGAGGGACCTTGGAGTCCTAGTAGACAATCACCTAAATATGAGCCAGCAGTGTGCTGCAGCTGCCAAAAAGGCGAACACAGTGCTAGGCTGCATTAACAGAGGGATAGAATCAATATCACGTGAAGTGTTAATAACACTTTACAATGCCTTGGTAAGGCCACACTGCAATACTGCATCCAGTTTTGGTCACCGCGATGTAAAAAAGATGTTGAGACTCTAGAAAGAGTACAGAGAAGAGCAACAAAGATGATTAAGGGACTGGAGGCTAAAGCATATAAGAAATGGTTGCTGGAATTGGGTATGAAGAGAAAGACGAGGGGGGGACATGATAGCAGTGTTCCAATATCTCAGGGGCTGCCACAAAGAAAAGGGTGTCAAGCTATTTTCCAAGGCGCCTGAAAGCAGGACAAGAAGCAAGGGATGGAAACTAATCAAGGAGAGAAGCAACCTAGAACTAAGGAGAAACTTCCTGACAGTTAGAACAATTAACCAGTGGAACCACCTGCCTCCAGAAGCGGTGAATGCTCCAACACTGGAGGTTTTTAAGAAGAGACTGGACAGCCATTTGTCCGAAATGGTATAGGGTTTCCTGCCTGAGCAGGGGGTTGGACTAGATGACCTCCAAGGTCCCTTCCAACTTTACTATTATTCCTTAGATTGGAGCCAGGAAGCTTGGATTAGAAAAAGATCCCTAGAATCAACAATCCCTCACACCAAATAATCCAACAGTCATCAGCCACAGCCCCAGGGAACCAGGATATGATCTTTGGGGCATGATAGGAGTAACCCACCACATCAGAATACCAGAAAGGCACCCTCAGACTCAGGTCAAATTTCATACCACAGGAACAACTCCAAACAAAAGCTCAAGAAGGTATAAAAACCCACAACTCCCAGCTACATGTGGTCAGCTTTCTTAGAGCCATCTTTCTGTCTGGCTCTCCTCTTCAATAAACTACAACCTTCTTTCTAAAGCAGTCTCTATTTTGTTTATTCCCAGCTTGGACTGGACCCTGATGAAGATTTTTCTTTCAACAGTATGTTTCTTTATATAGACATGTTTATAATGGACAGTTTGAGATTCATAACTATCATAAGTGTCTGTTGGAATCTGTGATAATGTCAAAATGCTGATGTGCATATCATAAGATCATGATGACATCATTTTTCCCCTTGCAAGTGCATATTAGAATTTATCCTAGTAAATAAAATCAGTACATCAAGGCTAACCATCTACCCTCACTGACAAAAAGAAATAAAAGGCAGAATGTCCAACTAGGAATCTTTCTTCCATACTATTCCCAAATTCAAAGTTCAAAGCACTCCCACTAATATAAATTACAATGCCTGCAAAGCTAGTGAACATCAAGTCATTAGCAATAAAGGGAGAAAAAGAAAACCTTGCCAAACCAGTTCTACTATTAAGGCCACTAAGACAGTATGAAATAAAATATTGTTAGATTATCATT